TCCCGTGCTGCTCATGGGCACGAAAGCCCATGATGAAATGCCTGGTGATGGGTTGCTTTGAAAGCACTTTTGTTGCCTTGTCCATCCCTCCACCCCCCTTTTCCCATCCGTATTGTAATGAATAGCAGTGCATGCCTCAGCGCTGGCTGGGACACTGACAACGTGCTCTGGTGCTGAGTTTGGGAGATGGCTGCGTCAGGGTTTGCTATACCAGGACCTCTTCTGGAGCAGGCAGAGGTGGTTGCCTCCAGTTGCTAGTGTGTGACTTACAGGCTGCCATTGAGGGACTCGTGGAGACATCCTAAACTAAAGGCTCGGTGGCATTCACACTGCTGTCACTTCTTGGAGGCTGTTGTCTTGTACACATGTGCATCCCTCACTGACCCACCAAAACCTGTATGGGGTCAGGGGAGGTGGAATTGTACCATGTCCCAGTTTGTACCATGGGACTTGCTTGGCAGTGGGTGCTTTGTATCAGCCTGTTGGGGTATGAACCCCATCCAGGTGGACCAGAGGACACTTAGAGAGGTTGGGGACATGGGTGTGTACCTCAGAGTCCTCCTGGCTGGGGGATTGAGCTGATTTGGGTTGTGGGACTACTTGGCATGATGACTTCTTTTCCTTTTGCTTGGTTTATGATCCAAAGTGCACTTTTTGACAACAACCTGATCCCTCCCTTCTTCTCCCCTTCACTTTTTACGCTTAAAGACGACCAGTTTGTCACTTTCTCAAAGTTTTCTCTTTACTAATATTTCCAAGGTAAATGGCTGTGGTGCATGTGGCTTCTCCCAACCTCCCTCCTGTCTCCTTAGACAACAGAGAACAGCTTGGCCTGCTTTGCCTCATAGCCTGGCTATTCCTGGCTGTATTCCTGGTGCTTGTAAGAGGCAGTTTAGGCAGTGAAAGCAAAAAAGGTCAAGAAACCTCCCTAGCTGTTTCCTAGTCCTTTTTCCCTGCTCTGTTTCATGCAGTTGTGTGAATTGGGAAATGTCTTTGCTGTGATCATCTTCCCCTGGGTTTCTCCTCCAGTCACCACCCTCCGGGCTGGTGCTGCTGGTGTTTACCTGGTTGTCTCTGGTTTTGTGGTCCTCACCGCATGCTGGTGGGTGCCTGTTGTTGCCATCCTGCCCCCGGGTTGTGTCCAAAGCAGCTCTAGGGCCTGCGAAAGCTCATGGTGTGTCACTGGGTGCTGCTGCCATGGTGCTGGCTGGTCCCAATGCCGGATGCTTGGCATGGCTGGTGGGAGCTGCCTCTTCTTGGCAGTGCCAAGGGCGGACAAACGGTGACCTCCTCCTTGGCAGGACAGGGATTGACACTGCCCACCCTCAAGGGGATAGTTTGGCTCCTTGAATGAATACCAGTGGTCTCCATCGCCTTGCCTTGCATGGACCAAAGGTCAGCTTCAAAGTGCAGGCTGGGCAGGGTGGGAGAGTAACTTGTGTTTTAGCTCAGTTTTTAGGGATATCTCTGTCAAATTCCCACCCTGTAGTTAAAGCAATGTGATGCTTGAGGGGTGTAGGTAGCAAGCGAGTGCATCCCCCCCATCTCTCCTTGGGCAGACAGTGTCCTCTCTTCTGTGGTGGATGCTTTTGTAGTGACCTGTGCTGTGGCTTTCTGTTACTCCCCTTTGTCCTCTTGTTGATGTGCATACAGAAGATGGGGCCTGACCCACACACAACCCCCAACCATGATCCTTTCCCTCTCGTTGCAGAACATGAACACCTCGCAGAAGCCGTCGTGACTCTGTTTGCGCTGTGGCAATGCCACCGGTGATGCCACCAGCTTCCCATCCCATTGCCATTTCTGAAGCTTGCTTATAAACTGGTCTCCTCCGTCTGCGGCGAGGTCGACCCTCGGCTGTTTCTACCCGTGCCCATTCATCTGCAAACCGCTCTGCTGAAGGAGGGGAGAGATGCAGGAGAGCGGAGGAGAGGAGCCGAGCATCCCGGGGTCACCACCAGATCTTTAGGCTGCAGCATTTGCTCTCCTCTCCACTGTCCTTAGATCATAGCAAGCTGTAAAGTGCTTCCTAGCGCACAGGAGTTTAATTTCCTTCTGCAAGCAGTTTTGATCTTCTTTTGTAGAGACGATTGGCACCCATCCATGTCGGGGTGGGGTGTGTATATATGTGGATGGTGCAGGGTTAGCAGAGAGACGGGGGGGAAGGGGAGGGAGCGAAGGGGTTTTGCATTTTTTTTTATGATTATTATTACAATTATGATTAATTCCTTTGCAACAAGCCCTTTACCCACGCTACAGCCTGTCACACACACGAGCCGGGTGCACCCAGGCCTGTGAGCACCAAGAGGGCCATAGTAAGAACGGATTTAACAAGGAGAAAACCCCCAAAACATCTTTTGTTTTACTCAATACACCTTAAAGGGGTTTGCAGAAAATGTAGATCTGCTTCTAAAACTGATGGTGAGCTGCCAGTAGTGTAGGGGAGGCCACACCAGTGGTGGTTTAGGTGGTGCTTTCATCTTTGGGAGCACCAAGGGAAGGTCTGAGTTCAAATGTGTGTCAATTTGGGTGGGAACCTGAGCACTGGTCGAGGTGCTGTGCTGATACTTCATCTCCTCTTTGCTCTTCCTTAGAGGAAGGTGGAGATTTGGGGCAGTTTAGGGATCGATCCCTATGTCATTGCAGGTGGACAGGCTGAGCTAGATGCATTTTGCAGGCGCACAGGTCTTGTGGAGGTGGCCGGAGGCCTGGCTGGGATGCAGGAAGCCCTGTGTGGCTGCAGAAAGCCATGAGAAGGGACAGTTTTGTCTGTGTTCTCTCTTAATTTTACATATACACATGCACACGTGTGTGTGTGTATATGTGTATACCTAGAAACCGCTTGGTTTTTGCACTTTATTTGTGGCAGGAGCATAACTATTTTAGTTTTTATCAAGTTGTGCCCCTTAACAGGGGAAGCCTGAATACAGGCAACTTCTTTATTTTGCATGCTGGAAAGCTGGGACTACAGAAAACTAGTTACAGCATTCGAGGTGTGTGTGTATTTGGGGGGTAAGACAGGGTGAGGTCTTGACTTGGACTGCGTCAGCCAACTCCCAGTGGTTTGATATGGGAGATCCCTTCTTGGCAGCCTGTCCCAGGCTGTGAGACAGCAGTTAAATGGCAATTAACCACTATTGCTTTGTGCAAAATCTGTGGATTTTGAATAGTAATTTCTCTTTTTTTAGGGTTTTGGGTTGTTTTGGTGTTTTCCTCACTCTTATATGCACAGTCTTCTCCATCCTCATCGTGCTTTTTGGCTGCATGGCTGAGCTGGGAGCAGGAGGTGAGGGCAGCCAAGCCTTCCTGCAGTGCTATGCTGGAGATGGGCAGCCCTTTGGCTTCATCCTTTCCATAGCTTTCCTCAGCCCTTTATGTAGGAAACAACATCCCTACAGCTGGGAGCAGAGAGGTTTGGGGAGAAATGATGTATTTTTTTTTGGTGTGTGTATATGTTTTTTGGGGGGGTTGGTCTGTTCTTCCTTTGGGAAAAGGTGAACCACAGTGCCTAGTGCTTCAGCCTCATGCTTGGAGCAGCACCGACAGCGGGAGGGGACTGGGACCATTCTCAGTCTATATCCCACTGGAGGAGATGGTCTCCAGTGCCCTGCCCGTGTGAGCTTGTGCATATGTGTATTATATTCCTGTACAGACGAAACAAAGAACACTTTTCCCCCCTCCTCCCTGCCCTTTTTAGTTTAATAACCACATTAAAAGCAGCCATCTCCCTGTGTGAGCAGTTGGCATCTGCCCTTTTGGTTTGTCTGCCTTTGAGAGAGAGGAAAAATGAATGTTTTTGGAAGGCAAATTGCTTTTATTTTCAGCCTCCTTCCTGGGGAGTTTTATCTTTCCCCTCCTGCTATGAACAGATAAGCCAGCAAATGCAAACATGACGTCTGGCTGCCCCGTGATCAATCATGTACACATGTAATCCTGCAGATGTTTTGGTGTGTATTTGTTTATGTGTGTGTGTATGTATATATATATA